TTTAAATTGAGTCGGCCAACCCTTCAACTGAGGCATGCGCTCCTCCTTTGGAATATTACACCTGTGGCTTGGGAAATATAGGTTTGATAATCAGATAGCAACGACTCTCTAATTAAATTGATTTCGAAGGTACAAAAATATCAGGCACAACAACAACAACAACAACAACAACAACAACAGCAGCAGCAGCAGCAGCAGCAGCAACAACAACAACAACAACAACTCAAGGGAGGCGGTGGCCCTGATGAAGAGCACGCTCTTCGGGGCTCCAAACATTTCGAACAGATAGGCTACCACACACACAACAACAACAACAGCTGCGCCAGGGCAGTTATTCCCTGGAAACAAAAGGAGACTGGACTTCCTCACACGTTTAGGGGGTGGTGGTGGTAACCCTAACGAGGAGCTTTCTCGTGGTCGCAGTGAAGGCACATCTGAGACATTACGCACTCCGTTGCCCCCCTAAATCGGGAGGTCACACACACACACACACACACACACACACACACACACACACACACACACACATACACACACACATACACACGCACGCACTCACGCACCCACGCACCCGCATAAACACACACACGCAAACAACAACAATAAACAAAACCCGTGGGTGCGCTCTCTTGGACACTAATGAAAACCCACATAAATGCATAGACAACATAATATTATTATAATTATACATTACTTTGTAAATTCATAACCATCAAAATTCAAAGGTATAAAAATTGTCTAGATCTATGTCTTTCTCTTTATTCTAGTCTTTTACATAATCTCATAGGAATAAAATGTATTCGTGAGGGTCGCAGCCACTGTGCGCCAGGGTCCGTTTCTTTCCACGCAGAAATCGTGATTGTTACTGATATTGACTGCTTTTGGGGAGATAAGGCCAAATAAATAAGGACCTGCGGCTAAATAAGATAATCATCATCTGCTGCCGTTGAGTGTCGAGGGGAGATGCTGGTTTTGTTTGTTGTTGTTGTTGTTGTTGTTTTTTTGTTTTTTTGGGGGGGGTGTTGTTGTTTTGTGGTTTTTGTTTGGTTTGTTTGTTGTTGTTGGGTTGCTGTTGTTTGTTTTGTTTGTTTGTATGTTGATGTTGTTTTTTGTGTGGGTTATTTTATTTGTTTGTTTTTTGTTGTGTTTTTTTTTGTTTGTTTGTTTTTTTTTTGGGGGGGGGGTGTATGGTAAGCCAACTCTGTAGGTCTTCCAATTGAAATTTCGTTTTTCAGACTTCCCTTGACACTTCCAGTCTGTCTTTTTCGTATCCAACCTCCTGACTTCTTAACAATTAACATTGTATTGTAAGCTCTCGGGTGTGGTTCACAGGGCAATATTCGTAACAGATGGCCAAACAATTTCATTCTTTTTTTTTTATTTGTATGAAATGTATCTAGGTCAGCGTGCCAACATCTGCTCATACATCTCCATTTCTCTGCTTGTCTCTTTTTGTGATCTTAAGGGTTTTGCACGCACATTTCCATCTGGCTTGCAGTAATAATATTGCTTTCACAGGTCTAGGTCTGACATGGACAGCATAATGTTGTCATAAACATTGTAGTGATTTAATAAGCGCTGTCTTTTTGTGTCCACAGAGATGTTTGGATGAGATAGAAGGGGTGCAAGCCGATCAGGGGCGAATGCTGACTTGTTTGACAGGGTAATCAAAGTGAAATGGGACCAGATAGGGCCTGGAGATACCACACTCACACCAGTCACAAGAATCTTAATGGCACTGGAGGCGGCAACTCTGAGTTGTGAATGAAAACAAATCCTGAATTCATGTTGTATGCATATTCAACCGCTAAAATAATCGGAAAAGTATTTCATTAAATATTTATTCTAACTAACCTTAAATTTAACTTTAGATTTGAACACACGAACACCAAGGAAAGAAGCAGAGAAGTCAGTACTACAATGGCATGTTATACCAGACAGCCGAAACGCTTTGGTAGAGCATGCCAATTATTATTATTTTTATTTCGCATGCTGCTTTTGTCTAGCTTTTCATGGCCAGGAGCCGGTGTCATAATCGAGGTCACGATCTGATTATGGGACGTTAAAAAGTCGAGGGAAAAAAAAACAAGCACTCGCAGCAGTCAAGATTTTATTAGGAGTTAGTTCCCCTCTCATCAGGGAGGTAGACTCGACCAGTGTATTAGTTAGCTTACATAATCAGCGCGTGTGGCTGCTTATAACTATGGCTCGAAAGGGGTGAACAGGGTATATATATATATATATATATATATATATATATATATATATATATATATATATATATATATATATATATATATATATATACATATGCGGCAATGAAACAGTTTTAACTGCTATGCATATGTTCCCTTCAACTCTAAGTATAGACTCTTCCAGCCTCACTGTAAGCTTACTTAATCAAAGCTTGTGACTGCTTACGGAGTGGCCCGATAGGGGCGAACAGGATATTTCTGTGGCAATGAAACGGTTTTGAGGGTTAGGCTTAGTTTATTGTTCCTTGGTAATTATGAACGTCTTTTTATATTTAATTTATGAGGTTTACGTCTATGGGTGAATTTGACTGCGACAATGTTTCAAAATTAGGAAGGGAAGCAGTGATTATTTGATTATATAGACGCTTCGCCTCTGATAGCCGATACCCTTAGAGGATTTTTTCCCATTCGGCGTATCTCATTGAAGTTTGTTTTGAGAATTTTTAAGCTATATATATAAAATATACATATCTTAACCTTTTCTCAGGATGACGCATCACAGAACCGCTTGTCTCAAAAAATGCCCATATTATTACACAGTGAAATTTGTACCAGTGAGTGCGGTATTACTCTGATCTTCTGCTCTTTGCCGGTACAGGATGTAGATCAAGTTGGATTCAATTAAACAGGATTTTCTAGTATAATCTCCTTAAATATATTTGCGTGCTGTACCCCTCTTAGCCAGGGCTAGTCTTGGCTGACAGAATATAAGCAGCCCGCCTCCTAATATAATCCAGATTGAGTTTGTTGGGTCGGGGGATTAAAACAGTTCCAATCTATCTTCATAATCACTGAGTACGTGTAGCAAAATCATCATTCCTAATTTTACTCTGAGATGTCAAAACTGTTTGCACATTCTACTTTGACTTTGTTAAAAAGTCAAATACATGTACAATAAAAATGATTTGATGGGAACACTTTAATTTTCCACTGTATTTTTGCAAAGACCAAAGGGCTTGCTCCAACTAACTTCATTTAACTGCGCTTTCAAAACAAAATAAATGTATTTTGCGTTTTCCAAATTTAACACGCATAAAATATATTGTTTACGTTTATAGCCCCACGCTTCGGGTTTATTAAAGTATTGTAATTTATTAATCTCCCTGTCCAACATGAAATTCTTACGGCTGGACCGTTGTGTGACAGAAAGTTCGTCTTACGTATGTTGTTAGCCACACTATAGGATGACTTATGAAACCATTACGAATCTGCAGATCTCTCTCTCTCTCTCTCTCTCTCTCTCTCTCTCTCTCTCTCTCTCTCTCTCTCTCCCTCTCTCTTATTTTACTTGGATACTCCTTTGTGTTTGCTTTGGAAGCGGGCTAGGCATATTTCACAACTAGTCTCGTTATCACACGTTCGCCCTTCACCCTTTACTTTTAGCCTTGGTGTCAACAGGACCAGGCACGGGGCTCTCAGTCTGTAAATCTTCTACGCCCCTTGTTGACAAGTTTTAGATCAGTGGATCCCTAACTGGGGTGTATGAACCCCAGGGGAGGAGTGTGAGTCCACTCCAATGTGCTATTTTGACTATTCCTGTCAGAGGCTCCCGGGGCTTTTCAACGTGCTACATTACAACACGGCATATAAAATAAACTAAAATCACCCATCGAAATTTGTGTTTAAGAAAACTTCAAAATTGCCATATTTCTAAAGGGTTGTTCTAGACGTGGTCAATGAAGACACTGAGAGCCAACAAAGCAAAAGGAGTGATTGTTTGTCGGGTGATCTGGGTCTGGTTGGCTCCTTGGTCTCCTTCTTCCCTGTCAAACCTTTGTCGTCTTTATTTTTCATTCTTATTTCCTACAAGTAAAATACTATCTTATAGAACCCGTGATCTTCGACATTCATACATTTTTTATTTTTTATTTATTTATTTTTTTGTGGGAAAAGGCTGTAAATTTCTTACTAAAACAAAGAAAGAAAATAACTGCTTAGAGTAGTGCGCACGGTGAACACTGCAGAACGTATGTTCCTTATCACATTCGTATGTATTGTTGTTATCATCGTCATAGAAACTTAGGCCTTCAGTGGCTCATTGTTTTCAAAGTTAACAACGAAAAAAATAATTTTCTGTACCATAGCCCACAGCAACATGCAACAAAACTATAGAAAGTCTCCATGACACCACCTTTTGCTTACTACAAGAATATTCGATTCTTCATGACTCTTTTTCAGAGAGTAAACAGCATTTATTGTTCTCATTTTCAGTTCTGACGTGTAAATTGCAATTTCACTGTTATGTTTAGGCCATGTATGTCGTGAAAATCTATAATTGCTGACTGGTGTATTCGAGCTTTTTCGAAGAGGGCAGATAAATGATCTTGCATGCAAAGTAAATTACCGTGTATGAAAATAAAGTGCCCTGTAATCTGTTTCAAGTAAATATTTAGAAAATCGATGATGCCGAAAGATAATTATTCCTGAAAAGATTATTCCCAAAGACGTTATACCAAACAGAAAGTAGGTCTAATTATAAGGTCCTTAATTCCTCCAAAAAATACGCGTTTTTGAAACACCAGAACAAATCGTCAACACTGTCGCGTATTCTTATTATCATGGTCATTTAGCATCATCAACAGATTGCAGACTACGTGATAGGGATGATATAAAATTACCTCTACAAGAAATACGTAGGTAAAAGAAAACAATGAACGACTTTAGCCAAGGGTGTAAAGTGTATAATACGATAAACGCGAAATTCTGATGCGCTGCTGTTTTAAAGTTGGTCTTTGTTGAAAAGAAATCATAAAAACTTCCGACTTCCGGCCATCTTTTACTTTCGTTTCCCCAGAACAAGCGCATGGTAGAATGTTTACGAACAAGTCAAGAAGTGAACAAGTGAAGTCTCTCTTGTTTCTTGGTGGATGGGTTGCCTTTTGTTTTGAAAATAAAAAAGTATAAAGTACCTAAGGTTTTCAGCCAGCACTTCTGTAGTCTTAGCTGTATTTTCACTCTCTTTTCAGAGTGGTTAAAGTTTACACAGTGACGCTAGTAGGCTAGATCTAGATCTAGATCTAGAATACTAATCTAGATCTAGTCTCTAGATAATAGATCTAGAGTAGAGATCTAAATATCTAGATAGTAGATCATGTGCATGCTTCATCACTAGATCTAGAATCTAGATCTAGATCTACATAAAAAGGCCACCTCTATTCTCACCCGGAGTGAGAATAGTGCAGGCGAGTCTTGTGGCTATTCTCACCCGGTGCGCGTTCACCCTAAACCATAGAATTCTACACTGTGAGGAAAAATTGTAGAATTCTGTGCCGTGAACAAACGTTCCATTACAACTGTAGCCTACTAAAAGCGTACAATTTTGTCTGTGGGCAGTGGAGAAAGAGAGAGAGGAGTAGCGCGAGAATTTGCGGGCAAAACAAAATGGCGACCCGCGTAGTTCGGCTCGATTCGAAAAGTTAAATAGCCGTAGCATCTTTGTAGACAACCAAATTAATTTACTTTTGTGTTTTAACATCATTTTTTAACTTTGTTTTGGTCAATTTGATCGTCCACACCGATAGACAGTATTCAGAAAGAGACAGGAGAGAAAGAAGAGGGGAGGAGTTGATCTTGCGAGAACTTCCGGGCGGGTGAGAATAGCCACTTTCACATAAAAAACTAAAAGCAACAAGATATAATTATGGGGAGAATTTGGGTGCTTTTTCGGTAGTTCCCACCCCCCTTATTTGACCTACATCTAGATCTAGATCTAGATCTCTAGATCTGTACGTTTGATTCGCGGTGAGCTAAGACTAAGATATCAAACCTTAAAACATTAAATTATGGTAAAATTCAGGGGGGCATGCCCCCCTGAAACCCCCCTTCCTATTTTTATTAGGTCAGGGGGGCAAGCCCCCCTGAAACCCCCCTACTCTTGGGGCCAAAACCCGTGAATAACAATTGCGGGGTGGGAACTACCGAAAAAGCGCCAGAATTTGTTGGTCAGTCGAGAAGAGGACAACAACAACAACAAAAAACCACAAGAAAAAAAAAAACGGTCCAGGACCGGGATCGAACCCACGCTATAAAAATAATGGTATGACTTCAAGCGCAGACGCGCTGTCACTTCGGCCATCAGAAATTCCTATAACGATGTGCAGATTAAGCTTGATATTTGCGACACGGCGTTTTATTTAGCACTGGCGCTAATCGCAACGCAGTGTTTTATTTAGCACTGGCGCTAATCGCAACGCGGCGTTGCAAATATAAGCACTTCCGAAAAGAAATCATTGTAACGGATTCACTGTCAAAATTTGCAGTAGGCCTACGTACAGGGATTGCAGCTTATTGAGTGATCCTGTGTCTCTTCTTGAACCTGTCCAACTATCCCGTGTTGCATGTTAAATCAGGAACAAGGCCAAGTTTCTTTGTGATTTTATGTACATTTGTATTCAGGATGGGACCAGAAATGGAAAGAAGCATGGCATGTGCATATATATATATGTACTCTATATTCTCAAATTTGGCAAGGCGCACTCACTTTCATTTTGGTTCATATCCAATGCTGGCGTTTTCAATTTTTTTATCTTGGGTTTTCAGAATTGTGGAAAGCATTGATTTGAGGATACAAAACTACTTATTCAGTCTTAAAGCATGAATTCTTTTCAACCTCTTTAAAGAATGCCATTGCTATCTTAAAATACCGTCAGGCACAGGTAACACAAACACAGACAGCTTGTACAAATTTTATAGTGCAGCCTCTCAATAACGACATCATTGGCGTCGGTGGCCTAGTGGTTAGTCTCTCGGACTCGCAACCGTAAGGTCGTGGGTTAGAATCCCGTCGGGGGCCCGACGTTGTGTCCTTGGGAAAGGCACTTTACACGAATTTTCCTCACTTCACCCAGGTGGGAATGGGTACCCGGCTATAGACAGCGAAAGATCTTGTCAGTTTGTTAGAGTTTCAGCGCTTAATCAGCTGCTTGCACTGTATGCTTCCCGGGAAGCTGAGAATGTTTCGGAGTGTTCTATGGTCTGCTGGGGTAATAATATAGTGTAAAGCGCATAGAGCCTGCAGTTGAGCGGGGATATGCGCTATACAAATGCTATTTATTATTATTATTATTACCAAAACTATTACTAATGATATGAAAGAAAAAAATGGGGACCTGGGCACCATGTTGCTATACAGAGGATGTAATTATATCGAAGGTCGTTACAGAGGGGCTGCACTGTACAATTTGCCAGTTTCCAAATGATGTCTCATTAATTTCTCGACGTCAGTTAACCTGAATTATGATGTGCCAAACACATTTCGCACTCTGCGAAATGCTTGAGTTATAATCTGTGCCTGACTTTATTTTTGTTTGATGCGATCCAGTTATTTTATTCTTATTGAGGTGGCACCCTAAAATACCTTAAGCACAATTCAATAATACCGTAGTAATACATGTATTGTTAACTTCATGGATGTATTTTTTAAATTGTGTGCGTGCCTGAGAGGAGGAGGGTTGAACTAAAGGATTGTCCTGTCTACTTTCACAGATTTTTCAGAGATGCTTCTTCCTCTAGACTTCAATTCAAGTAAAACTACCACAATGGCGAAGAAAACCATCTCAGAATAGTGATTATGTCAAGTTTTGAAACTGTCATAGTTTAGATACCAAAGAGAACAGGAAAAGAAACAGAGACAGAATTTAAGAGTGTCAGTCTAGACATGCCGTCTGAAAAGAAAGAAAAGAAGGAGAAAAAGAGAGGAAAACATGGAAGGGAGTCTGAAGAGTCTGTTAGTCAGGGAAGTGTTGAAACATCTGCCAGAAGAGACAGTTCCAAGGAAAAACTCAAGAAAAAGAAAAAGCTGGAAAAAGTAGAAACTGATCTAACAGCCGATGTGTCACATAAAGAAGTAGAAGAAAGCAGTGAAAGTGTTCAGAAAACCAAGAAAAAAAGCAAATGTGAGACATCCGTCCTTGTCGATGAAGTGGAGACAGAGAAAGTGGTCGAAAAGGGAAAGAAGAAAAAGAAGGAGAAAGCGAATAAACCTGACCAGGAACTTGATGCTTCTATGAACGATATAGAGCTCTCTGGTACAATCAGTGGTACCGGTAGTCAGAAAAAGAAAAGAAAACATAAAGAGGAGGATGGGGACATATGCCAACAAGATAAAGATAGTGCAGAGTCTGACAGCACTGGCTTAGATACAGCTTCTCAGAAGAAGAAAAAGAAAGACAAACAGAAAGAAAGGCATAGAAAAGAATCTAACACGTCTTTGGACCAGATCACAGATGTCCCCGTCTCGGACATACCAAGAGAAAAACACAAGAAAAAGAAAAAAGACATTGATGCAGATGTCAGTACATCGCATGAACAAGTAGAAAATAGCAGTGCAACAGTTGAGAAAGTTAAGAGAAAACGAAAGCATGAAGCATCAAAAGATGCCAATAATATTGAAAATGATGAGTCTGGTAGTACTAGTATTAAAAACTTGGCCTCAGATTTAACACCTAAAAAGGTAAAGAAGGAAAAACAGAAAGTGGATGATGAGTCGTCTCTTGGCGTTGTTGACCAGAGCATTTTACAGCAAGCAGGCACTAACCTAGGACTGCCAGTTGAAGAGGAAAATATTCCCTCTGAGGAAAAGCCGAAAAAGAAAAAAAAGGAAAAGAAAGAGAAATCAAGCCAAGAGAACAGTGAAAGTGAAGCGCAGCCTGAAGGGACCAGATGGAGTCGTTGTGTTGACTACTTGAGACTGTGGGCCACAGATCGGGCCAGCTGGAGGTTCAAGAAGGCGTCCCAGGTCCAGCTACTGCAGATTATGTACAACAAATCTCAGGTACTTTTGTCCTTTTGTGCTCAGTTGTCTTACACAGGTTCTTTACATTGTCAGAGATAAACATAAATGTTGGTAGGGTGAGGGGGGGGGGGGGGGTGCTTTGGCCACTATATGTTGCCCCCTTAAATGAGATCAGGCAACTCCGAAATATTGAGTCAACCTGGGATGTAAACCGTAAACTATTTTAATGTAGATATACATACATATGTACATTGTAAAACTCACAGGATCAGAGAATTTTTTTCATGTGAAGCAGTGTTAATGAAAAGACCAAAAAAGGCAAGGCGTCCCCTATTTCACTTAATTGGCTTGATATTATTAATGCATGAAGAGCTGCCAACCTTTGGAAAATAAGGAAACCTTATTTTCATCTTCAAATAGAGGCCTTGATGACACAGAATGAGGTTCAAGTTCAAGGGAGGTAGTAGCTGCTTTCTTGATGGGTTTTCACACTACTATTCACTTTCAGAATAAAAATAAAGTAACAAAACATGGAATTTATAAATCACACCTGCACACTATAAAGATAATCCAAAAGTTAAAGAACGGGACATTCCCTTTGAATTAGGGACAGATGGTAGCTTTCCAGTGCCTCTTCTCCCTGTCAAGAGAAATAATACCACTCTCTCGCCACCCGCTGCACACAGGGAGTAGGGAAGAAACTCAGTTCAGGGGGAGGGGGGATCTTACCCATTTAACAGGTGTTAGTGACATGCATTGATAAAGGTGGACAGTTGTGAGCTAAAAAAATAGAAAGGTAGAGTCAGCAGGGAAGAATGATGAAACTGCCCAATTTAATTTGTGGTAACCAGATCTGTTGTAATTTTGGATTGTAGTAAGGAAATTTGAGAAATGTATTGAATAAAGAGTGGGAAAATGGGAATGTTAAATCCTTTTGTTAACTCGCCCAAAATAATCAAGGAACAGCTTGTGATTTCACCTGTCAAATTTAAACTTCAATATCTCACAAACTCGTTAAGATCAGTCAACCAGACTTGGCCCACGCACTGTCGACTAGACACAGTTTGCCTGTACAGCAAATTTGCCCGCACCAGCTTCACAGTGACAGCGCAGGGCATTCTGAAACACAGTCGAAAATCATGAAAAATGGACTAAATTTCTTTGCTTCAGCAACATTGGCATAGGGACTGTTAGCTAAAACTAAGCTTAGCACGTGCTAAACAGATGTCTTAGCTGTGATTATAACTCCCTTACAACCCTTTATAAGGCAGCAATTTTCAGCCACGTTTCATTACAACACGATGGTCCAACGACGCTCGCTGCCTGACGTCGACAGAGGACGAGTCCTTGCCTGGGTCCAAGATGGCTCCACGTTCCCAGTTGTTGCACATCGACTTGAGGTGTCCCCATCAGTCATATGGAGGCTGCAAGAACGATGACGAGCGACCGGAAGGGTCCAGGACAGGCCTCAACCAGGGTGCCATGTTTGATCAACGACAACATTGACCTGTTCATCGCCAGACAGGCCGTGACGTCACGAACCACTACTGCAAACGGCACCGGGGACCAACTATGGGTGACAGCCAATGTCCACGAGAGCGAGGAGACGGTAAGGAACTGTATCCGTAGAGCCAAGTTCGCTTCTCGTGTCCTTGCCAGGCACCCAAGGCACACGCTGCCCCACACAGCAGCTGGTCGGGCGTGATCTGTTCGCCATTCACAGTGGACACAATGTCAGTGGGACCAGGTAGTCTTCTCGGACGAATCCAGATTCAACCTGCTGCACCCAGACAGGCGAGCCCACGTCTGGAGGCGCCGAGGAGAGCTGTTTCACCCTGAGTGCATCCAGCAGGTGGCGCCCTACGGTGGAGGGCCCGTTCTGGTGTGGGGAGGCTTCTCAGCTCACCACAAGACCCATTGTGCCATATACAGGGCTATTTGACCGCGGCAAAGTACAGGAAGGAAATCGTGCGTCCCCCTTGCTGTTTCTCTCCTGCAACAGATTGGACCCCAGGCTGTACTGCAGGACGACAACGCCACGCCACATCGCGCACGCATCGTTGGGGACTTCCTGCTGCAGCGAGCTATCACCCGCATTTACTGACCAGCTTGTAGTCCGGATTTGAACCCAATAGAGAACATTTGGGATCCCATTGACCGGTGGATAAGAGACAACCACCCTCCTGCACAAAACCTTAAGCAACTCTTGGCTACCTCGTCCAAGAGGGGCAGAACCTACTGCAACAAGTCCTCTGAAGGCATGTCCTGTCCATACGTCGATGCTGTGCCGAGTGTTTGATCAAACGGGGTGGTTACACCCACTATTGACTATGTTCTTGAAGAACTATGGCTGTTCAGACTTTTGAAATCCGACCAGTGTGACTCGTTTTACATGAACTTCTCGTTTTTGTTGAAATCTGAAATTGTACACACTTAATCTAAAGAGTCGAAAGCAACTTTTTGGACAAAATGAATAAATTTGGTTAAACTGTTCTTCGGTTATCTTTCTTTGAATTTTTGTTCCTTGACTTTTTTGTGCGAGTTTATTAACAGAAATTTCATGGTAAACAACTTTGTGGAAACAAAGACCATTTTATTATTACAATTAGGTTTTTTTCTTTCCAAAGAACAAAACTGCACAGGTGAATGTGATGTTAGGGTTAATCTCTTTTCCATTGTTCTAAAAAAGTGTGAATGCAGTTCCCATCCACTTGGCTTGAGCCTTTCAGAGATGGAATTTGATATTGTGAATCCCACCCCTTGAATTCAATTACCATTACCTTTTGAATCATTAATTGGAGTGTTCAAGCCATACCATACTAATCTTCATGTGTTGTCCTAATCTGTTCTTGGTAAAATGTACAATGTTACAATGTGGCTATTGCCCTGAAGTTTTTTTGATTGAATGGTTTCTTCAGTGGCTGATAAAATTATATTTCGGAAGGGGGGTGGGGGATGGTTTGACTTACCCTTTCTTGTACAGGGTGATTTCTTGATGTGTGTTTTCTCATATGTTTGTATCGCAACAGATGTCAGACGAGGACTTTGTCGTGATGCTGCAGTACTTAGAGGAGATTAGGGGCAAAGGTAGAGACAAGACGCGTGAAGATGCTGAGAAATTGCTACAGGATGGTACAGATGCACAAGGTGAGTGTTTTGGGAATTTTTTGTGTCCTGTATTACAAGTACCAAAGATTGTATTGTACTTTTGGAAGGTTTCAAGCTTTTTGTAATGGGGATATAAGTGAATTTGTTTTAATAAGTTAATTAAGTCTGCTCGTGGTTTTACAAGGCTCATTTCTTTCATGAATTTTCTATCCTCGTTATAGTTAAACAGTGTAGGTTAGTATCGAGAATGAATACTAATAGTAGCATGTACATCATCGTCTCTGAACCATTTTGTCCAAAGTGCCTCTTTACTTTAGTACACTTTGGACAAAATAGTTCTAAGGCTTTTTGGTTTTTAAAAAGATGAGTAGTTCGAATCGCTGACAGATGTCCTTGCAGAAATTTTGGAATGGCATGCTTGTGGAAAATTTCACTTTTTTAAAGTTTCTTCTCATCTACCACTTTCAGAAACTGCAATATGAGCTGCAGACTATAAACATTGTGCTTTCTCTTTGACATTGTCAGCTTGCTTAATCTGCCAGTTGCCTGATTAATCTGCCTGTCGCACGGAACAGACAAAAGAGTAAACAGAGAAGTGAGAAGAAAGCAAACCCAGTGCCAGTGATATCAAGAAATACACTACATGTCATCACATGCTCATATGTGAACTAGCTGTGCATAGACAATAGCCTGTGACTAACTGAAGGTCACATGACAGACAAGCCTTCGCATTCCTTGCTTCACTAGGCCTATATATCCAGTGTCTAGGTCTGTTGCTGTGTGTGATAACATATAAAATAGGTAAACAGTACATTGACAATGCCTCTCTGTGGCCCGCAATCAACACACGTGCGTTCTCCTGTCTTTCTTTTGCTTCACTATCTTGAAATGCATAAGACTTGATTGTCTCTGTTACTTGAGGGTTGTTAGTGAAGAATAAGACAACATAATCTTCAAAATTCTTTTGGCTGAGAAATATGAGCATTTTGGCTTTTTGGTAGATTTATTGCGAAGACGAAGAAATATATCAGAGATTTTATTTTCTTTTGGTTTTCCAGGTTTTTTTTATTAACCCGGTTTCATGTAGGCGGACTCCAGGGTATTTATTTAACAAAATACTGCTACTGATGATGACAGATTACACATCTTGTGACATCCAGCAATGCAAAATTTGTCCACCAATATTGCATTTTTCTGCTTGAGATGGATGTGATTTGGAATCAAAATGAAACCTTGTAGCTATCAGTACCCAGTGGTGTATTGCTCATCATTCTATTTAGTGTGTTTTTGAAAACGAATGTGTAAGCATTGCAAGGAACAGTATTTTGATAGATAAGACAACTGCTATTAATTAAACTGATTCAAGTCTTTTTCTTTAATAACCTCTGTTTTTATTTGGATTTTCAGTGTTTTCCTTTTCTTTTTTGAACGATTGACTTTATAACTTAGTACTTACCTCTTGTAACAACATCGTTGGGACCTGAAAAAAATGTCGCTATAGAAAGTTGTCGTTATAGTAGAGAGGCAACCAAAAATATTACTAATGAAATATATCGGAAAATTGGGACTGGGGCACCATGTCGCTTTACAGAAGATGCCGTTATATTGAAGGTCGTTACAGAGAGGCTGCACTGTATTAAAAAGTGCATCATGTATATTTAGATATGCTATTAAAAGCATTTTATGTAAATCGTTATACCATGTTGTGTGATGTGTCAAATTCATCAAGTACATGATGTCTTAAGTGCTGAGCTAGAATTGTATCAGTCTGATTATGATGTGCATCTTTAATGGTAAGAGACTTTGTCACTGATATCTGCATGATGGCAAGAGGAGCCAACAGTACTGTGTATGTTATATATAGCTTCAAAGTTGATAATTCATACCAAAGGTTTTTACATTGGGGTTGGGGGTTTTTTTTCATTTTTTGGGGTGGGAACTGGAACTTTACTTTGCTATGTATTATTTGAGAAATAATTTCTGTAATGTCTAGTGCTGAAGAAATGCATTTAATATACTAGCCTAGAACATATCATAATGTGTCATTGGCTATGTTTTTCGCAGGATGGCCATAGTGACCAGCATTATTTTGTAACTGATAGTGCTTCATACAGTACAAAGTTATTGTTCTTGTTGATCCGGCTCGATCGTGACATTGATGAATGACCAATTCAGCCTCTTACGTAAGATTACATATGGGCCTACTGTTGAGAGCGGTGTTAAGCCCACATATCATACTATGAATGGCGCTGTTTCAAACTATTTGCGTGGGTGGTTGACCAGTGCTCTGGTGTGGTTTGCCCCTTCTTTCCTATCAAACATCTATTGTCCTGATCTTTCCTCCTTATTTTTTTTTTGTTACTCTCTCATAACACCTCTAATATTGGGCACTTATATGACCTAATTGTGTTGCAAATTGCCGTAAAAGGCTTACAAAAACAAACTTTTTTACTAAGGCTGTGAATGTACTGTGAATAGGGAAATGATGACTTTGACACTCCACCTCTTAAATAACATTATGCTGCTGAGAAGGCCGTTAAGTACACCCTGTACTTTGAATCACACAGTTTCAAACTATTTACTTAGGTTGTTGTGAATACTGCTGCGAATAGCGAAATGATGACATGGACATTCCAAAGCGTTGTCGTTCGTTCCTTGGCCATTATGAAAGGGTCTCCGCGTTGGCCATCCTACAAATGCCTGTCTGATCGTACGAGTCCAATCTGATGGACTGGTCACCTGTTGCAATGTGGCAGACCACAGGAGTGATTGTGACACCTAGGTGATATCGGTGCTTTGTCACTGGCGCGACCTCGGTATTAGTGGCGAGTCGATTGTTGAGTACTTCTAGGCGACAGTAATGTGCCTTCCTCCTGTGAAGTGTGTTGCGGAGTGTGGAGTGTAATTATAGTTTTCGCGCATGTGTGTGTTCTTGTGTGTTGTCTCATAATAAGTTATTGTCTGTGTTGAGCTGCATATGGTCTTTTGGAGTGGGGAGAAAAATACTTTCTGTCATATCTAGTGCTTAAGGAATGCAGTATATTTAAGATACTAGCCTAGAACACATCATAATGTGTCATTGGCTATGTTTTCCGCAGGATGGCCATAGTGATCAGGTCAGCATTGTTTTGCACGTAACTGATAGTGCTTCATACTTTACAAAGTTATTGTTCTTGCTGATCCTGAAATCAATGTTCTGAAAATGAATGTGTAGAGCCCTCGAAGCGCAGTTAACAGACTACCTCGTTGCTGACCAAAAATTGTCCAAATCATGGAAGGCTGCTCCATGTTTCACTCATGCCTCTACAGCATTCTGATCTCGGATTCTCTCTTTATACTCCACAGAAGCGCAAGATGATGATAAAGTTTTGAGAGCGCGACAGATTTTCCAGCTGCTCAGCTAATGATGTGCTCTAACAATCTGGATTATTTGAATAAAATGTTACCTTACCAAAGTCTTTTCTTTCAGTTAGTGTGTACCGGTACTTTGTTAATTTGCCACTTTGTTTTCATTCTTCTAATGTCCTAACCATTGTATAGATATATTTAACATTTTATATTATGCCATCATCTCTAGGGAAAGTGATTGAGGATGGAAAAATGTTATGAAAAAAGAAAGCACCAAGTGTCCATAGAAATCATTCTGACTTTCTGTGCTCTTGATTACATTTTACATTTCAACTGACAGAGATAGCCCAGATCTATGTTATGTCACACTAACGTGAAACTTGTCACATGTTTCGCAGACTTTTTAGGTTTTTACGCCACCACCGTGTGTGAGTAATGGACACTGGTTTTCTTCTTTTAGCTTTATTTTGTGAATTGATTCATTAAACTTGGGCTCCAGATCTGTACCGTATCAGAGACAAGCTACGGTCTTTTTTTCCAGTCCTCAAGTTTTTACGCCCTACTAGACATAAATTAGGTTATTCCAAAGTCTGTGCCATTGGTTCCCTCATCAGAACACTAGTCTCAGAGTCAGAGTAAAACTTTTCTAGCTGCACGGACGATTTTTAAAAATTCCCGTTCAGGTTTTCAACCTGAACTTGAGCCCAATCACACCATACAAAAGTTGATAGGTTACATTAAGGTAAAACAAAATTCCAGTGAGCGCTAAAAAAAAAAAGAAAACAAAAGATTTAATACACTTTACATGTACTGAGAATCTAAGTCTGCAGCCTGAAGGACATGTAAATTTGCCCTCCTGTCATTCCAGAGTGGCAATTCTGTACATGTAGTGAAAATTCTGGTCTTCAAGTTTTTAATGCAGTATTCAAACATCTTGCACCCTGGACGGCACTGAGCTCACATTTCCTAAGAAAAAGAATTTACAACAAAGTGCAAATCTAGAATGATACCCAAGCTCCCCTGTTCACCTCTGTTAATAGTATTGTTATCACCTCTTGCTAGAGCTGATCTATGGTACACATGTGTAGGCTGCAGTCTCCCAAAGGATTTGGGCATACTGAATCTGGAAAAGCATACAACAAATGTTATGACGGAGTTTACTTAAACTTAAACTAAAATATGTGGGACTTCTGGATTTTCTTCAGTTTAGACAGGCTTCTCTAAGAGTAGGAGAAAAATTTGAGGATTTTATTCTCTTTCAGTTTATGTTCAGTTTCAATTTTAGCTGATCCCACTGTATTTTAAAACAAAGTTGACATACCTTGTATAGTTTTCGAGGAGAGAATTGATGAATTATATTTCAGTATTTTTGGAGCATGTAAGCCTACTTAATGTACAGTTTCAAGTTATCAGTGTCGCCGCCACCAACCAAAAGAATAATTATTGGTATTATTTTATTCTCCCTTTCCTGTTCCTGCCTATCAACACAATTATGATCTTTTTTGTGTGGAAACAACTATTTCATCATTCTCAGATAAAAGAGACACTCGAAACAAATTACAGTGGAAACCATATATAACAGGCCCGGTAATAACAGGGATCCAGCAATAACAAGGGTTTTTAAATCCCTTTATTTTTCTACTCTTTGTCTCTATACTCTACTAAAAGTTATCGGCAATAACAGGGCATCATCGGAACCCAATCGGTTATAGCAGGGATAAAGGCTCGTTAACAATGTGTAAAAAGTAAGAGAGAGAAAAACGCAGTGATGGAGCAAGCCCACGCTAGCCATGCCTCTACAAGCACAGGCAGTGGGTGAAGCGAGAGAGGGCTACGGTGTTCTGTAGACTAGGCTTCGATCTAGCCCTAAGCCCTAAGCCTAGCTACATGCACGCATAATGTGTCATGCGCAGGCCTGCCACATGGCCAAAACCTTTGTTCATCAGTACTTGTGGCAAAGGAAACTACCTATGAATAAATGTAATTACAGCTGGATTAGTCCACAAATGTTTCCTTCCCTTGCATTTCTGATTTAACAGTCAGGGATCTGATATAACAGGACTTTTTCTCTGCTCCCACCATCCCTGTTATATCAGGTTTCCTCTGTACTGTGGAATCTTCTTATAACGAGAGGGAGTGGGGTGGTGCGAAATATCCGTTATAGCAGGATTCTCGTTACAAGGGATCCAGTAATAAATTCAAGGGAAATAATAATGTAGGCCTAATCTATGAGTTTGGTATTCAGTTTATTTCCTTTTGTTATCTCCCCTGGTGATGATTATGTTCAACGTAACCTAGGGCTAGATCTGTCCCCGTGGTTTTATGCACCCCGCATAATTTGGCTAAATTTGATCATTTTTTGCATAATTTCTGATTATTTTCCTTTATCATTCTTTGTTAAAATTAACAGAATCGCATAATTTCACATTTTTGGGCTCCGCTTGCATAATTTCAACATTTTTCAAGCATAAAACTATGGGGACAGCTAGATTGGAGTCTGCAGCACATCGCAGCCCTCTCTCGCTTCACCCTCTTCCTGTGCTTGCAGTGGCATGGCTTGCATGGGCTTGCTCCATCTCTCTCTCTCTCTCTCTCTCTCTCTCTCTCTCTCTCTCTCTCTCTCTCTCTCTCTCTCTCTCTCTCTCTCTCTCTCTCTCTCTCTCTCTTACTTTTTACACTTTGTTAACGAGCCTTTGTCCCTGTTTTAACGGATTGGGCTCCGATGTGGCCCTGTTATTGCCGAAAACTTTTAACAGAGACAAAGAGTAGAAAAAAACGGGGATTTAAAAAGTCCCTGTTATTACCGGATCCCCCCTGTTAAGATAAGATAAGATAGTACTTTATTAACCCAGAGGGAAATTTTCCTTGGCTGTACAGGACCGTAAAAGCAGATGCAGGTAAAAAAAGATACATACAAAATTTAAATAATATATATAGGCCTATTACTCTCATTAAAATTCAATATGAAAGGAGAAGTAAAGCTGAAAAAATGTACATTTACATCAAATGCATCATTCAACCACACGCAGGAACCTAAATACTAGACCTTTGGAGTTACATTAATTTGTATTATATACAGATACATACTCTAAGAGCAACACACATCTATGCTCATTCTGACAAAAGCCTTATGCTAGATGGTAAAAAAAACTTCTTTTATATCTTTCTTTCTTTGTTTTTGGATATACATATCTGCCGCTGCGTGATCTTACAATTTGTGAAGAAAAGGGGTGTGATGGGTTGTTTATAATACTTTTTATCTTTTTATACGTTTGGTGTTATACATTTCATCCATTCTATTAAGATCTTATCCAGAGATCTTGCTGGCTTTCATAATGGTTCTGTCAAATTTTTCTTTATCTTTCGCCTTACAATTCCCACCCCAGCAGCAAATACAAAATAATAGCACACTTTCAATCATAAACTAGTCAACAAAAATTAAGGAACATTTGAGAAAAAGTGTATAACTTCGAAAGCAAACTTCAACACGCAATGAAATTTCGTACACATTTTAATCAACATGTGTATAGCAATTCCCAAAAAGGAAAATTAAGTTATTCCATTTTAACTTGCTTGAAAAGTTAATTGAGTTTGGTAGGGGTTAAAATCACAAATCCCAAAAATTGTCAAGCGGTTTCGAAGTTATTTTAACTTCTGACTACAACAAAAACAAAACAGTTCAGATGATTTCAATAATGAGTATGCCCACTGCAATTGTCCTGGCACTCAATACACCGGCTCCTCATCGAGTTCATGAGGTTGGTGAATACTCTCTGAGGCATCCCCTGCCACTCTGCCTACAGCATCTGAAACAGTTGCTGCGTGTCTCCTGGAGGGGTGTGGTTGTCTCTG